TTAGGGCCAGGTGTGGTCTCTCACACCTGTAATCCCAGCACTTTGGAAGGCTGAGGTGGGCAAGCCACTTGAGGTCAGAAGTTTGAGACCAGCCTGGCCAACATGGTGAAACCCCATCTCTACCAAAAAATAAAAAAATTAGATGGATGTGGCGATGCACATCTGTAGTCCCAGCTACTCGGGAGGCTGAGGCGGAATCGCTTGAACCCAGGAGGCAGAGGTTGCATTGAGCTGAAATCACACCATTGCACTCCATCCTGGGTGATAGAGTGAGACTCTCTCATATATATATATATATATATATATATATATGTATCAAATGAAAAACAGAACTCAGACTGCCCAATTCTTTTTACAATACCACATTGTGTATATTATTAATATATAATCAAACATTCTAATAAACCAAGGTGAAAATGGAACCTCTAAATCCATCCAAATTTTTCACTATATTAAAAGCAAAGCTTAGCAATATAATAGCAGTACATACTTCTAATAAAAGTTTTACATACCATAGCTATTGCTATAAGTTGTACAAACATCTCACTTAATTCCCATAATAGAAATATATGTATATGTGTGTGTGTGTGTGTGTATGTGTGTATTTATGTATGTACTTATATCTACCTCATTCCAACAAAGGATTTTCAGAAGCTTATTGAAATAAATAGAGCATAAAATTTTTTTAAACTGAGCTGATCATTTATACGTAAGATACTGGAATATAAACCAGTAAGAAGTCTTATTTTTGTTAGTACAAAAAGGATGCCATAATTTCTAATAAACTTATCCAGTAAACTCATCTTTGGCTGGCTGTCCTCAAACTTGATTCTGCTTTCCCTAGCTGTGAATATGAAGAAAAACAGATAGTACTATGCCCACTGAAAGATAATGAGATTTGGGAGGCCAAGGCAGGAGGATCACTTGAGCCCAGGAATTCGAGACCAGCCTGGGCAACATAGGGAGACCTTGTTCCCACAAAAAAATTAATCAGACATGACATGCCTGTAGTCTCAGCTACTTGGGAGGCTGAGGTGGGAGGATCACTTGAGCTGGGGAGGTAGAGGTTGCAGTGAGCCATGAACACACCACCACACTCCAGCCTAGGTGACAGAGTGAGACCCTATTTCTCCAAAAAAAAAAAAAAAAAGTGATAAGAAATTGTAAATTATCCAAGATCATACAACCAGTGTATTTCTGATTTCAAGGCTGTTATGCATTTAGGGTGATACCAAGTTACTGCAACATGGAATATTTTTCCCTTTGTGTCATCTCTGATTTCTTTCAGCAATGTTTTGTAATTTTCATTGTAAAGATCTTTCACCTCCCTGGTTACCTGTATTCCTAGGTATTTTATTCTTTTTGTGGCTGTTGTATGTGGAATCATGTTCTTGATTTGGCTCACAGCTTGAACTTGTTGGTGATAGAAATGCTACTGATTTTTGTACATTGATTTTGTATTCTGAAATTTTTTTAAAGTAGTTTGTTATATCTAGGTGCTTTTGGGCAGAGACTACGGGTTTACTAGGTGTAGAATCATATCATCTATGGACAGAGATTGTTTGACTCCCTCTCTTCCTACTTGGATGCCTTTTCTTTCTTTCACTTGCCTGACTGCTCTAGTTACAACTTCCAGTGTTACATAGGAGTGTTGAAAGCAGGCATCCTTGGCTTGCTCTGGTTTTCAAGGGTAATACTTCCAGCTTTTGCCTGTTCAATATGATGTTGGCTATAGCTTTGTCATAAATGACTCATTATTTTAAGATATATTCCTTCAATGCCTATTTGTTGAAGGTTTTTTAACATGAAGCTATGCTGAATTTTATCAAAAGCCATTTCTGCATCTATTGACATTGTTATATGTTTTTTGGGTTTAGTTCTAATTATGTGATGAATCACCATTATTGGGGGTGTGTGTGTTGAACCAGCTTTGCATCCTAGGGATAAAGCCTACTTGATCGTGATGGATTAGCTTTTTTATGTGCTGCTGGATTCCATTTGCTAGTATTTTGCTGAGGATTTTTGCATCAATGTTCATCAAGGATATTGACTTTGTGTGTGTGTGTGTGTGTGTGTGTGTGTGTGTGTGTGTGTGTGTGTGTCTGCCAAGTTTTGGTATCAGGATGGTGCTATCCTCAAAGAATGAGTTGGGGAGTTCTTTCTCTTCAATTTTTTGGGATATTTTCAATAGGAATGGTACCAGCTCTTCTTTATATATCTGATAAAATTTGGCTGTGAATCAATCTTGTCCCAGGCCTTTTCCTACTTGGTAAGATTTGTATTACTGATTCAATTGCAGAATCACGATTTGTCTGTTCATGGTTTTAATTTCTTCCTGGTTCAATCTTGGGAGATCGTAAGTTTTCAGGAATTTACTCATTTCTTATAGGTGTTCTAATTTGTTTGCATAGATGTGTTCGTAATAGTCTCTGAGAATTTTTTGTATTTCAGTGGGATAATGTTCTTTGTCATTTCCAATTAATTGTGTTTATTTGGATATTCTCTCTTTTTTCTTTGTTAGTCTAGCTGTGGTCTTCTTTATTCTTTCAAATAATCGTATTTGTTCTTATTTATAATCTTATTTATTCTTTAAATAATCTTATTTATTCTTTCAAAAACCAACTCCTGGATTCCTTGATCTTTTGTATTGCTTGTTGTGTCTCAGTTTCATTCAGTTCAGCTATAATTTTGGTTATTTCTTTTCATCTGCTAACTTTGGGCTTAGTTTGCTCTTGTTTTCTGTTTCCTCTAGGCATGAGGATAGGTTGTTAATTTGAGATCTGAGTTTTCTGTGGGAGCATTTATGCTGTAAACTTTTCTCTAAGCATGCTTTAGCTCAGTCTTAGGGATTCTGGTTTATTGTATCTTTGTTCTCAATCATTTCAAAGAATTTCTTAATTTCTGACTTAATTTTATTGTTTACCCAAAAGTCATTCAGGAACCGGTTGTTTAATTTCCATATAACTATGATTTTGAGGTTTCCTCTTAGTATTGATTTCTATTTTCATTGCACTGTGGTCCAAGGGTATGGCTGATATGATTTCAGGTTTTTTTTTAATTTGATGATAATTGTTTTATGGCTGATCATATGACCAGTTTTACAGTATGTGCCATGTGCAGATGAGACGAATGTATATTCTATTGTTTTGGGGTGGTAAGTTCTGTAAAAGTCTATTAGGTTCATTGATTAAGTGTTGAATGCACGTCTAAATTTCTCTGTCAGTTTTCTGCCTCAGTGATCTGTCTAGTACTGTCAATGGGATGTTTAAACTTCCCACTATTTGTATGTGGTTATCTTAAGTTTTTTCGCAGGTCTTTATGAACTTATTTGATGAATCTGTTTGCTCCTGTGTTGGGGGCATATATATATTTAGGATAGTTAGATTTCCTCGTTGAATTGAACTCTTTACCATTATGTAATATCCGTCTTTGTCTTTTTTTTTTTTTTTTTTTTTTTTTTTTTTTTTTTGCTGTTCCTCGCTCTTTTCCCAGGCTGGAGTGCAGTGGCATGATCTCGGCTCACTGCAACCTCTGCTTCCTGGGTTCAAGTGATTCCCCTGCCTCAGCCTCCAGAGTAGCTGGGACTACAGGCGCATACCACCACACCTGGCTAATTTTTTGTATTTTAGTACAGATGAGGTTTTACCATGTTGACTAGGATAGTCTTGATCTCCTAACCTTGTGATCCACCCTCCTCAGCCTCCCAAAGTGCTGAGATTACAGGCATGAGCCACCATACCCAGTCCTTTGTCTTTTTTGATCATTGTTTAAAGTCTGTTTTATCTGAAATAAAAATAGTAACCCCTGCTTTTTTCTGTTTTACATTTGCTTGGTAGATTCTTCTCCATTTCTTTACTTTGAGCTTACAGTTGTCATTGCATGTGAGATGGGTCTTTTGAAGACAATATATCATTGTATCTTGCTTCTTTATCCAATTTGCCATTCTATGCCTTTTAATTGGGGCATTTTGCTCGTTTGCATTCAAAGTTGATACTCATATGTTCAAATTTAATTCTGTCATCGTGTTGCTACCTGGTTATTATGCAGACTTGAATGTGTAGTGACTGCTTTATAGTGTCATTGGTCTATGTACTTAAGTGTGTTTTTGTGGTGGCTGGTAAAGGTCTTTCATTTCCATGTTTAGCACTCTCTTCAGGACCTCTCGTAAATCATATCTGGTGGTAACAAATTCCCTTAGCATTTGTTTGTCTGAAAGGTTCTTATTTCTACTTTGCTTATGAAGCCTCGTTTAGCTAGATATGAAGTTCTTGGTTGATATTTCTTTTCTTTAAGAATACTGAATATAGGCCTCTCAATCTTTTCTGGCTTGTAGAGTTTCTACTGAAACGTCCACTCTTAGCCTGATGGGGTTCCATCTGTGGGTGACTGGCCTCTTCTCTCTAGCGACCTTTAATACTTTTTTTTTTCATTTTGACCTTGGAGAATCTGATGATTTTGTGTCTATGGGATGGTCATTTTGTATAGTATCTCACAGGAGTTCTCTGCATTTCTTGAATTTGAATACTAGTTTCTCTAGCAAGATTGGAGAAATTTTCATGGATGATATCCTCAAATATGTTTTCCACATTACTTACTCTTTCTCCCTCTCTTTCAGGGACATCGGTGAGCTGTATATTTAGTCTCTTTACATAATCCCATGTTTCTCAGAGATGTTTATTCTTTTTCTTCATTTTCCTTTATTTTTATCTGACAGAGTTGATTCAAAGAAATAGCCTTCAAGCTCTGAGATTATTTCCTGAGCTTGATCTATTCTGTTGTTAATACTTGTGATTATCTTATGAAATTCTTGTAGTGAGTTTTTTAGTTCTATCAGGTCAGTTTGGTTCTCTCTCAAAATGGCCATTTCATCTTTAAGCTCCTGTATCATTTTATTGTATCCCTTAGAATCCTTGCATTGGATTTCAACTTTCTCCTGAATGTTCATGTTCATTCCTATCCATATTCTGAATTATATGTTTGTCATTTCAGCCTGGTTAAGAATCATTGCTCAGGAACGACTACAGTCATATGGAGGTAAGAAGACACTCGGGGTTTTTGAGTTGCCAGAGTTGTTGTGCTGAGTATTTGTCATCTGTGTGGGCTGATGTTCCTTCAACATTTAAGTTGCTATCCTGTAGATGGGACTTTTTGCTTTTATCTTCTTTGATGCCCTTGGGGGTTTGGTTGTGATGTAAGGTGGGTTCAGTTGACTAGCTTCATTTCTGGAAGATTTTAAGGGGCCAAGCACAGCTAAGCTCTCCTGGGCTGTGTGCTCTAGCTCTGGGGGGCTGAAACCAGGCCTCCAGCTCTGTTCTCTGGCCCCTCAAGGCTAGGAATCTGCCATGCTGCAGGAGCTGAGGTGTTCCTGGTCCACTGGCCATAGCATTCCAATAGGGAATTCCCCCCATTGGAGTGCTTCATTGAGATAGTGGCAACAGGATCTGTGCTGAGTCACACATGCCAGCCACCTCAGCAGTGCAAAAGGGTACATGTGTGTCAGCTGGGGAGAGGCATTAGTGGGAGTGGGGCAGCAGCATTCCTAGATTGAAGTGTTTCTAGAAATGTGCAACAACAAAGCAACAATAAACGTATTTCAAGAGAGTTTAGTATATTTATAGCAGTATTTTGGGGATGATGAATCACAGATACTGAATACAAAAACAGGTAAAGAAGGAAGATGGCAAAGGTTTGAGTTAAAGGGGTCATTGTACTGCACATCTTGATGAGAGTGAAGAATAATTGGAGGGGATGCAATGAATGTAATTGAACAAGATAACTGAAAGAATTTGAAGTAGTATTCAGAAATGTGCATTTCACATTATAGAAGGTTTTAGTGTGGCCTTTCCTTTATTATAAAGGAAGTAAATAACTGAAGAAACAAGACAGTAGATGAATTATCCAAGTGCGTAAGACAAAAAGATTACAAATATGGGGGTCAGGCACTAATGTCTTTGGTGAATAAAGGAAAAGGATCAAATTAAGGTGAGTAAGTAACAGTGAATAGAAGAGGAAGAATGTGGTATTGTCAGATTATACAAGCTTCTAAGGAGCAAGGATTTTGTTTCTTTTTTATATATGAAGTTTCAGAAATAGCAGGGTATCAGAAGGAATGTTAGTGAATAAACTGCTGTTATGTAAGAGGACCATAGAGGAAGCAGTGTCTTCCTTAGAGAAAGGGCTTGGTTTCAGATAGGGCACAGAATTTGAGAGAATGTTTTGAAAAGAGGTTGGGAATATAATACAGTTTGATTATCATCTGGCAGAAGTTCCAGAGTGCTCAGTTAAAGCAATCAAGAGGTAAGGACCATTGAGAGGGCTGGTCAGAGGCAATGGAATAGTATTATTGGCATCATGCCCAATGGTCTCAACAGCTTTGTAACTGATTTCCAATGAGTTATTTCTAAACCATTTTAGCCTTCTGTGACTTATTCATCCATTGTTTTTTATTTTTAAGTTTTTCTTAAGGCTCTTTTTTACTTCCTAAAGAAGTTATTTGTACGAGTTCATTTTCTAAAACAGAAAAATCAAAAATTATATAGTTGTTGGATTTTTTTTCTTAGTAGATAATTTAATCTTTTATAGATTTAAGTTATAGCCATTTTATAAATGTTAGCCTATAAATCCTTATGAGAGCTTTAGCCTATGTCTTACACAGAATTCTTGTCACATTATAAGCACTTTAGTTTTAAGAATATGGGCTCTGGAGTCACATTGCCTGATCGTCCCCAACTCCTTTATTTATAGTTATGCTACCTTGGAGAAGTTAATTCAGCTATTCCAGTATAGGAAAGCATGGACAGTAGAAATAAACCAAGTTGGGAAATGGTAAGGTATGCCTGTTATGGTTTGGCTCCATGTCCCCACCCAAATCTCATCTTGAATTGGAATCCCCATGTGTTGAGGGAGAGAACTGTAAGCTCCATATATTGAGGGAGAGTGGCAGTTGGGCCATGGGAACGGTTTTCCCCATGCTTTTCTCAACATAGTGAGTGAGTTCTCATGAGATCTGATGATTTTATAAGCATCTGGCCTTTTCCCTTTTCGGACTTCTCTCTCCTACCACCATGTGAAGAAGGTCCTTGCTCCTCCTTTGCCTTCCACTGTGATTGTAAGTTTTTCAAGGCCTCCCCAGCCATTCAGAACTGTGAGTCAACTAAATCTTTTTCATTTATAAATTACCCAATGTTGGGCAGTTCTTTATAGAAGTGTGAAAATGGACTAATACAGAAAATTGGTACTGAAAAGGGTGGGTACTTCTATAAAGATAATTGAAAATGTGGAAGTGACTTTGGAACTAGGTAACAGGCAGAGTTTGGAACAGTTTGGAGGGCTCAGAAGAATAGAGAAAAATGTGGGAAAGTTTGGAAATTTCTGGAGACTTGTTGAATGGTTTTTATCAAAATGTTGGATAGTGATATGGACAATGAAGTTTAGGCTGAGGTGGTTTCAGATGGAGATGAAGAACTGAACCAAAGATCACTCTTGATATGCTTTAACAAAGAGACTGGTGGTATTTTGGCCCTGCTCTAGAGATCTGGGGAACTTCGTACTCAAGAGAGATGATTTATAGTATCTGGCATGATAAATTTCTAAGCAGCAAAGCATTCAAGAGGTGACGGACCATAAGAGTTTGGAAAATTTGTGGCCCCACCCATGTAATAGAAAAGAAAAATCAATTTTCTGGTGAGAAATTCAAGCTACCTGCAGAAATTTGCATAAGTAATGAGAACAATGGGGAAAATATAAGAGATCTTCATGGCAGCTTCTCCCATAACAGGCCTGGAGGCCTAGGAGGAGAAAATGGTTTTGTGGGCCAGGCCTAGGGCCTTGCTGCTTTATGTACTCTTGGGACTTGGTTCCCTGCATCCCAGCCATGGCTAATGGGCCAATGTACAGCTCAGGCTGTTGGCTTAAGAGGGTGCAAGCCCCAAGCCCTGGTGGCTTCCATGTGGTGCTGGGACTACAGGTGTGCAGAAGTCATGAATTGAGCTTCATAAACTTCCACCTAGATTTCAGAGGATGTATGGAAATGACTGGATGTTCACCTAGAAGCTTGATGCAGGGGTGGAGCCTCAAGAAGAAGTTCTTCTAGGGCAGTGTGGAAAGGAAATGTGGGGTTGGATCCCCCCACACAGGGTCCCCACTGGGGCACTGCCTGGTGGAGCTGTGAGAAGAGGGCCACCATTCTCCAGCACCAGAATGGTAGATCCATTGACAGTATCTGCAGACAATGCCAGCTGTGAAAGCAGCCAGGAGTGGGGCTGTACCCTGCAAAGCCACAGAGACAGAGCCGCCCAAGGCCATGAGAGTCTACCCTTTAAATCAGCATGCCTTGGATGTGAGACATGGAGTCAAAGGAGATTATTTTGGAGCTGTAAGGTTTAATGACTGCCCCACTGGATTTTGGACCTGCATAGGGCCTGTAGCCCCTTTGTTTTGGCCAATTTCTCCCATTTGGAACAGCAACATTTACCCAATGCCTGTACCTCCATTGTATCTTGGAAGTAACTAACTTACTTTTGATTTTACAGACTCATGGGAGGAAGGAACTTACCTTGTTCCAGATGAGACTTTGGATTTGTACTTTTAAGATAATGCTGGAATTAGTTAAGACTTTGGGGGATTGTTAGGAAGGCATGATTGATGTTCAGATGTATAAAGGACATGAGATCTGGGTGGGGTTGGGGCAGAACAATATGTTTTGGTTCTGTGCCTCCACCCAAATCTTATCTCAAATTGTAATCTCCATGTGTGGAGTGAGAGACCTGTAATCCCCATGTGTTGAGGAGGGAGAGGATTGGATCATGGGGGCAGTTCCCCCATCCTGTTCTCAAGATAGTGAATGAGTTATCATGAGATTTGATGGTTTTATAACCATCTGGCATTTTCCCCTGCTTACACTTCTCTCTCCTGCCACCACGTGAAAAAGGTCCCTGCTTTGCCTTTGCCTTCCACCTCATTGTAAGTTTCCTGAGGCTTCCCCAGCCATGTGGAACTGTGAGACAATTAAACCTGTTTCCTTTTTAAATTACCCAGTCTTGGACAGTTCTTTATAGAAGTGTGTAAACAGACTAATACAATGCCTGATATGGGAAAAACAAGTGAGGCTGCCATCATTTATCAAGAAAATCATCTAGGGCAAAATCCTTAAAGGAGTATACTTGAAGAAAAAGGAATTGAAATAAAACTGAGCATTACGCAGCTGTCAACTGAGCTCAATCTCTGATTTGGTTAAAGTGATTTTTCACTACCCCTAATTGGCATATTTCTTTCCGAAAGGAGTTTTTACCTGGAGACTGTACAATTTGTACACAATGTCAAGCTTTCAGTAAAAATTGTGAACCATAGTATTAGACAATGTTATATGACCTTAAGCCAAGATAGAAAATTGAAAAGAGAAACAGACTCAAAATTGATCCATATTTTTGAGTCAAAGAGGTTATAATAACTATGATTTTAAGAACTAAAAATATTAAAACTCTTAAAAGAAAATATAGAAGGAAAGCTCCATGATATTAGATTTGGCATTTTACTTCTTGGCTATAATGCCAAATGTACAGGCAACAAAAGGAAAAATAGATAAATTGGACTACATTAAAATTTAAAACTTACGTGCTACGAAGGACATTACCAACAGAGATGTAGCTGCTATGGGAAAAAAAAAGTATGATTAAACATAGAATTACTATATGATCCATCAATGCCATTTCTAGGTATATGCCAAATAGAAAATCGAAAGCAGGGATTCAAGCAGATATTGGTACACCTATTTTCATAGTGGCATTATTCACAATAGCCAAAAGATTGAAACAACTCAAATATCTGTCAGCAGATTAATGGATAAACAAAATGTGACATATACATATAAATGCATAATATTCAGCCTTTAAAAAGGAAGGAAATTCTGTACATGCTACAAAATGTATGGAATTTTGAATAAATTTTGAAGACATTATGCTAAGTGGAATAAGCAAGACACAAAAGGACAAATATTGTGTGAATTGACTCATATGAAGTATCTAGAATATCCATAT